AGCATCGTTTGATGAGAATACATCGGCGTACTCGAGTAACAACTTCTTCGCCTTGACCAATTCGTTCGGGGACAGAACACTGCGACAGTCTTCCAAAAGTGTGGTCAACTCTCGTTTCTGAATCCTTGCTGGGGGTCCCACTCGATATATATTGGCACTGACGTAACCAATCCACTTCCTCACAAGTACCAACCAGTGCGCCTTTTTCTATAATCTGTTCCCGGTCGCAAAGGTTCAGCATACGTACTCCTGAGATGTCAGTGGTCCTGACCAAGGTTCGAGCTACTTTCCATGGAAGGTCATTGTTTACCCTTTCCACAAGTACGCAACGGTGAGCTTGCCCAGCGTTTCGAGGAAGACTAACCGGAACAATCGTTTCCGATCTCGGCGGAAGAACAATCTTCTTGATGCTGTACACGTTCCCTGGTAACGCACCTTCCATAAAAAGTTCCTCCTGTCCACATTTCAAAACACCTTGCTTAACGTCGATCTCGCAACAATTATTCCTCATAAAGTCTAAGCCTAGGATGCAGTCGTCCATTATATCAGCCACGATGACATTATGCAGGTAGATCACGTCGCCTAGCTTCAACTCCATCTCCTTCTCTCCACGGACGGGTATACGCTGACCGGTGGCTGTTACCAAATTAATGCGTTCTCGGTTGTATGCGGAGTTCCCAAGCAACTGACTTATAAGTTGGGAACTAACAACCATACGTGAGGCTCCAGTGTCTATGGTCAGCTTACACGGCATTCCGTTGATCTCGCCCTTTATTTATTTCTGCTGTTCCCATCATGGGTTTGTGAGATCGAGATCCTTGGGGCTCTTTTAACATCAGCCAGCACCCGCCCCGCAGTTCTGGCTTTTACTCGTTTCCCTGCTGCTGCTGGGCGGTGCTGTTGGCCGCACTACCCTCCTGAGATCGTTCACCTTCCCTTTCTAGGGTTCGCTTAGGGCAGCTGGATCGAAGATGGCCCTTTTCCCCACAGCCATAGCACCTAGGGCTGTATCCTTTGCTGCGGTCACGGACTGTAGCTGCTGCAACCTCCCTGACGCGATGGAAACGATGATCCTGCCGCACGGCTTCCACCTCCAGTGCATGGGCCAAGGCGTCCTTAAGCGTCTCGTGGTGCCCCAGCCTCACAGCAGCTCTGACTTCGAGGTCGCGGATGCCGTCGATGAATGTCTGCACCAGGTTCCCTTCAATGAGCGCAGGTACAGACCGGTATGCTTTTCGCACCAGCTTCTCCACCTCTAGAGCCCACTGCTGCAGGTTTTCGTTGATGCGCTGCACGCGATCTTTAAGCTGCGCACGAAAGACGTGTTCCAGGTGAGCGTCGCCATATCTCGCCTCCAACGCCTCAAGGAGTTGCTCATAAGTCACTTCCTCACTTAGAGCTTCCAGAACTGTTAAGGCCTGGTCGCGCAGGCCTAGTGTGAGAGCAGTCATGGCCTGACTTTTATTCCAGCCGTTCGCTTTCATAACAGCCTCGAACTGGATTTTGTAGGCTGACCAGGAAGAAGTCCCGTCGAACGGTGGCACCTTGAACCCACGTAGCGAAGGTGCTGTAGCTACTACGGGAGCTGTAGTTCCATCCCCACGTTTGAGTTCGTCCAGTGATTTCTTCATGTCAGCCATTACGTTGTCAACCCGATTGTTTACTTGGTCGATTCGGGTTTCAGCTTTCGCGATTTGGGTTTCAGCTTCCGACAGGCGATTGTCATGCTGAGCAACCCAAATTTCACCTCCTTTATCTCCTTCCCGAAGGTAGCGTGAAGGTCCTTCATGAGGAGCATCTGCTCTTCCAACCGACGGGCCTGTTCCTCCTGTCCGCCCCGCAGCTGCTCTTCCAATCGGCGTGCCTGTTTCGCCTGCTGGCGAGCCTGTTCCTCCTGCTGCTCTTTCAACCAACGGGCCTGTTCATCCTGTCCGCCCCGCAGCTGCTCTTCCAACCGACGAACCTGTTCCTCCTGTCGGCGAGCCTGCTCCTGCAGCATCACCATCAGAGCACCTAAGTCAGGTGCTGCAGATGTAGGAGCTACTGACGGTCCTGCAGCCGGCGGCTGACCCTCTGACGTCTGCGGCGTTGCACTACCAAATCTTCTTTGGTCCGTCTCCTGCTGGCGTTGACTTCGGGTACGGACACCCTCCGTTTCCTCCTTAGGTAAAATCGGCATGATTTTATCCCACTTCTGACACCAATTGTTACGAGCTTGAGGTTCGTGACAATAAAAATTGCCGATAAAATTACCTAAATTAACACTTTAATTTACTTTACACAAATTAAAACTTAAAACACTAATAATTAAACACACTAATTCACTTTATTCCGCTCCGAAGCTTCGCTTGTTTCGCCTGTTCAATACTGCCTCGATCGCATCTTGCAGCGCCTATTTATATAAATTAGCAAAGAAGCATCCGGAATATTCAAGTAAATGCGCGCAAAGGGACGAGTGTGCGAGTGTAGATTTTCTAGACACTTAGTTCTTCGGATGGCGCTGTCGGTTAAGAGATTTGTGATGTCATTTTCTGCAAAGCTCCCCTCGCTCTCGTTCCTGACACTAGATGGCGCTAGTTGACTTGTTCACGCAACAATACTATTATAATTAAGAAAAATAATTATTGAAAATAAATCTCACAGACCCTGTGCCCCGCTTCTGTGAACTTTGCCAGGCTGCGGTGGTAAATGTCTGTTTCTTTGTAAATAATATTCAATAATTTTAAAGCACGTGATATAGGCGCAAACCTGAACAGATTTGTCTAGAATCTTTTCCTCCCATTAACTTATTATTTAAAATCCTTAGTATGATGAATTTGCACAAAGTAAAGCCTTGACTGTATTAGTTCACGATTATTCAACTGTTATAATTATACATCCTTGTAATTTGACATAATCTTCTCATTATGTTTCATATGTTTAGTTGTGATATATTTTGTAAGGTCATGCCCTGCGGTCATGCCAGACAACACTGCATTATAATGCTAATTAAAATGGTCATTCACAATTAATAATGGTACGTTGTATTCCAAAACAAAACAGGTGAGGTTGTTGAATTATGATCGTAATCGGTAAACATTGACTTTTACAATAAAATATAGTTTTGTTATCAAAAGAATCAACATTATCGTTCACGTAGCCTGCCAATAATTCGGACCACAGCTTTTTGTAATAATGACGTTCTTGTGGCAAATTATTAAAACAAATATGAGTGTGTAGTCCACCTGTGTTGTTAACTACTCTATATGTTTTTGGGATGCCACGTAACTACGATTATACATATGGTACTGTACTATATTCTGTACCTTTGTTATTTTGTTTCAATTTACACGGCCGTTAATTGTAAAGAAAGTTAATCGAACCAATGTTAATACTATTGTTAGGAAAAATTTGGAGGACTCAAAACTCAATTCTCAATTCGTTGCAACTCTGTGGATCTATTATCGATTTTACAACGACAAGTGCTCAGACAAATTTTCAAAAAATTTCAAAATCGTATACTACGACAAAACTCGACGTACTATCCTTATCATCTCAATGGTTGGCGGTCCACTATCGTGCTATTCACATGAAATTTTCTGCACATCACAAGCAACTGTGGCATTTACTCTCACCAGGGGTTTTTATCGGAGCGATACCACTTACAGAATTTCAAGAAAAGAATCTACTCTCTAAAAGGCGCATCTGTGATTGCCCTGCTGCAGTAGTCAATAGGTGACAATGACCACTTACATCAGATCATCCGTACGCTCATTTATCTCCTCTCTCACAGAAATAATCAAATTGATCCGAAATCACACGTAGAAAGTAGAAGCCAAAAGTACATTTACTAGCCTCTTTTCACATTTTGTCCTATACAGTGAATTTAGTGGGATACATATATATATATATATATATATATATATATATATATATATATCTTCTCTCGACTTCGTAAACACAACAGCGTATAGGTTAGAACACGCACGGCTTGCTAAATACATACGCATTGATATTGTAATATTAAAATATAATTTGCTTTTTTTAATTAATAAAAAAATTAAATAAAAAAAAATGAATTTATTGAAGTTATGACGCGTACACTTGCTAAACACACTATAATGGAGAAATTATAACACGTATGACTTGGTAAGCACAATAGTAAAAAGGGGTTATAATGCGTACTTGCTAAAAAATACATAAGCATTTATTATTGTCTTAATCCTACTTACCTAACTCCATCAGCAATATCCGGAACTTGTGCAGAAACACTGTCAGAATTCATTATTGTTATTATTTTTTATGTACAAAAAACCTGTATACAAAAATAATCGTCGCGAAACCACACTGTTCAATGAAAAATAGAAAGACGAAACGAAAATAACCGGCTTGCTTTCTATGAGAGAGAGACAGAGAAAGACGCGCACGCCGCACGGCTTACAACTATAGCAAAAAGTGTCGTTACAACTTTTGGTCTTAATTTTTTCCGTCTAGCCCCCCTTTCGCAACACGCGATAAGGAAATTCGTTCCAATATTAAATATAATAAAGCTCCTATTAAATGAAAATTTATTCAATTTTTTATAAACATAAGTTAATTTATTAGGCTCGCTGTAAATATAAATAGAATCCCCGCCGGCACCAATGAAATTGTTAATTGCAATTTTAAGTGCTGATTTACCACGTACTCGGCGGTGAAGGAAAACATCGTGAGGAATCCTGCATGTCTGAGGAATATGAAAAAAAATATTTCGAAGACATGTGAAGTTCGCCCACACACATTGGGGCAGCGTTGCGGACACTTTCTTGACCTAAAACCCTCTCAGAAATGATGGGAGGCCTGTGCCTAGCAGTGGGACGTATACATGCTGTAATTTTTTTACTTTTTATAGGTTAATTTAAAAAAAATAAATATGAGACATTAAAAATACGAATTATTCTTAAACAACATTACAGGACGTGCTAAATTCTAGCACTGATCTGCCCTTTTTTTACAAAAATCTGGTATGAATTTGAACATACCTTTATAAGAAATTTCTTCACCCGTATTACGTCTATACCCAGGCTTTTCCCCATAGTCACCAACCGCAACTGGTCTTGAAGTAATAACATCTCCATTAGGTCTAGCGATATAACTTGGTACATCACCAGGTCGATCTATTTCGTATTCGTAAACTGGTTTAACATCTGGTCTGTCCGGATCGTAGCCAGGACTGTAGCTGGCCTGGTTCCCTGGTTTTTGATAGCCAACACTTCCTGTTGGTTTGTTATAACTAGATTCAAATGAATTTTGAAGATTTTGCTGGTTGTTATAGGAAGACTGGCTACTTATAGGACGATTGCCACTATAGGAAGGACCACTGTTGTAACCTGGGCTATGAGTCTGATCTCCGTAACTAGCTGCGCTATCATATTCTGAGGAGTCATTATCATATGATGCGTGGTTACTGCCATATCCAGAATTTCCATTATGTCCATGTGTGCCACCATATGGCTTTTTCTTAATCTGACTGCTGCCATAGGAATCGGAATTATTGCTGTCACTAGTTTGTCCTCCATAGCCTTGACTACTCTCATAAGGCTTATTACTAGAGGAATAAATATTGCCGTATGTAGCAGAATTGCTGTTGTATCCACTAGAGTTTTCATATCCATCTTCATAAGGTTTATAGGAAGATACACCATTGGGTTTTTTATTGTTATTTCCGTATATTGAGGTACTCCCTTGTAACTTATTGTCTGAACCGTAAGATCCGTGATTACTTTGACTTGTACCACCATATCCTTGATTTCCACCATACGGCTTATTACTCGATGATTGGGTATTTTCATCGTATGATCCGTAATAGTTCTGATTACCACTTCCGTACCCTGAACCGCTAACGTACGGTTTATCGACGGAAGTCTGACTACCACCATCATAGCTGGGTTTGTTGTGATTACTACTTCCATATTCGTGATTGCTGCCATAGGGCTTATTAAGAGAGCCGTATGAAGCATAATTATTACCAAGGTAACTTTGATCGGAACCTCCAAGTACTTGACTGCTGCCATAAGGCTTATTAATCGATTGACTATCATGTCCTTGATGATTATTATATGGTTTATTATTAGGGCCATATGAAACTTGAGCTTCATTATGATAATTTTGATTTGAAACACCATACCCTTGGTTGCCACCATAAGGTTTGTTAATTGATAACTGATCATTTTCACCGTAATACCCGTCAGAACTACTTGCATACGCATGATTATTATTATGTGGCTTTTTATTTGAGTTAGGTTTGTTGCCATAGTTACTTTGGCTACTGCTTTCATAGTTATCATTTCCAGCATGCGCATGACTATTACTAAGATAGTTATCATTAGTACCATAACCTTGACTAGAAATTCCATACCCATCAGTGATTCCTTCTGAACTATAGCTACTTTCATAAGATGGTTTTTTATTAGAGTTGAGAGGTTTTCTTGTAGATTGTGGTCTTAATACATTATTAGAGTTATATGCAGACTGACCATAAATAGAGCTTTGATTATCCGTGTAAGGTTTAGAAGGCTCGTGGGCAGGTCCTTGATTTGGGCGATAATTACTACCGTGAAGTACAGTTCCGGAATCATAATATTGGGACTGACTACTTTGTAAATGGGATAAAGAATTTTGATTAGAGTACGTATCATAACCATAACCAAGATGCCCATAGTCGTAATTCCCTTGGTTGATTCCATAATTAGGTCTATTTGAATCATATAAAGGTTTGTAGGGCCGTGGTGGGTCCTTGATTTCCAAATATATGGAGTTATCTTGATACTGGTTGCCGTAATTACTAGCATACTGACTGTTGTAACTATTATTGGGTTCATCGTATGGTTTTGTAGGATAACCACTTGGTTTACTAGGCTTAAATGGTCTTTTAGATGGTATTATAGGATCTGATGGATGATTGAAATTATTTTGTCCGTACGGGTCGGGTTTACTAGGATAATCAGGTTTGTTTTGATATCCAACATCAAAATCGGGCCGTGAAAATTGTTGATAAGGTTTTCTGTTTGGTCTTATTACGTATTGATACTGAGGCATTTCTGGTCGGTAAAGATCAAGGCCATAATTAGGACGCGTCGGTCTATGACCATACATTTCTTGCGGTCTCCAACTTCCTTGTGAATTTGGTCTTTCGTATGGATTTTGTAATTGTAACACGTCATAAGGATCAGGTTTAGTATTTACTAAGTTATTTTGAGGTTTTTGAGGTGCATACGGAATATCTTGAGGTTTATGGACGCCATAGCTTGGAGAATTATCGTAATCTGGTTTGGAATTAACATATTCGTCGGGCCTTTCGTTGTTATATGATGGTTTAATATCTGGTTTGCTGTTACCATAAGACTCCAAATCATCTGGCAACTCATCCGATAATGGTTTTTTGGGATCATTGTTAGGTTTCAGTGTCGGCCTATGTAATAATCCATCAGGGTCATCAAATTCAGCTTGTATAGGGGTTGGAGGAGATTGTTCACATTGAAATCTTCGGACATACACATCGTAATCTGGATGTCGGTGTAAAAGACTTTTATCTTTTATTTCTTTTTCGCTTAAAGTGCTGAGGTTACACGTAGCATTGCCCTTCGCTCCCACGCTAAAATAAAAATAAAAAAAATTAAAATATTAATATGGTAAGTGCAGTAATAAACTGGTTTGAACAGTTCTTAATCACTAGGTAGTAGGTTTCTTTTTCTTTTTTTATATAAGAGGAGGATAATCGAGCATGCAGCTTATCTGATTGTAAGAGAAGTTTTCTATTATCTGACCTGACCAGAAATTCATCTGGTTCGATTCCAACCACTTACCCATTTCTGCTAACAATCAATAGTGAATGCATAGTTACGCTACTTTTGGAGCCAGAATATTTACGAACTGTGAGGCTTTTAGTTTTAGTATTTAGATGTGATATAATGTATTTTTCTTGGTTTTACTATTTTGAAAGCTTATATCAGGTCGCTGGTACCATCAGCTACAGTAGCCACTTACCATCAGGTGCACCGTTAGCTCGTTTATCACTCTAATATTGCAAAACTAGTGCGACTGCTGATCATGAGATTCTGGGTTCGAATCCCGGATCGGGCAAAAAAATCAATTATTGAATTATTCCGTCAAAAAATTCTCAGTAGCTGCCCGGAGTCAGAAGAAATTGGCGGTGTCTCAACCTCGTACCTCGGAAAGTACATAAAGCCGTTGGTGCTGCGCCTGATCTCACTCTGGTCGTGTCAGTTTACCGTCGCATCGGATTACGAGAGTGAGGGAATAGAGTACACCTGTGTTTGCGCATACACTTGGGCACTTTAATCCTGTTCTGCGCCGATGGCTAGTCTCAGTTGAGGCAGGCCGCAGTGACCGAAATTCGGTCTGAAGGACATTATCATTGCAAAATTATTCTATACTTTATGAACATATCTTCATACACTACGCAATATTCGAAATTCAAGTGCGACCAATGTACGACAAATATATTTAATATATTATAAAAGTGTACACCTTACACATAAATATGTGTTAGTTTTTTCTTTTGTTCAACTTTATTTTTTTATTTTTTTTGCACAATTTTTTTTCAGAAGAATTTTTGTGTTGCAAATTATATATGTGAGAAATCCACTCGGACATAACATCGACTAATCATTAAGTTCGGGATAAATGGGAAGACTGGTCTCCACGACACAGGGAATCCTAGTGTAGGTGGTTAAAATAAAAACATGTGAGACATATAAAAATGTAACATAACGGTAACACTAAGTCGGTATCTGTATTATTTTTGAACCGAATAAATATTTCTTATTCTTATTTTCTTATACAGACCTAGAATATATACACACGTTTAACGTTAAAGTTTCTATGTAACATGTAATGTGTTAAAAACTCTTAATTAAATTGGTTTTATATTTCATTATCATATTATGTATTTTGGATGTCACAACATTTGACTACTAAAGTCATATCTAAAAGAACACCATCCATCGGCAAGTTTTAAAACTACTTACCCATAGTCATAGGATTGACACTGCTTGTCTTGTTTACAGATTTGCTCACATTCTTTAGTTGTTAGCTCCGATATATTACGGTAGATGGCGTCAAAGGGCAACTGCTCACCTATTGAAATGCGCTCGAAGCAATCTGAAATTTTATATCAGAGATCTTTAATAATTACCAGTCCATACTACGTTATTTATTACTACCAAATCATAATAATATGTTATTTATTAGAGGTAGGAGATGAACAAAGAGCGTTCAGCGGGGGTTACGACGAGGCAGCACGTGGGCAAGCCATTCTGGTGACTGCTATTGTAGACATAGTGCTCAGAAAATGCGCCTTTGTACGTTTGTATAGAGCATGATGGCAGTGGCGGGCCACCGCGACTTTAGCTCTATTCGAGCGGGTAATAGGAGTATGGTTTGACATAAATGACAAACACACGTTCAGGGTTTCCTGAATGGTAGTTACTTGAATTTCTTATCGCACGCAGCGGCATATACGTGGCAATTAAAGCGGTCCCTTATTGACACATACTATTAACGAGAATTTCAGGTACGAAACCTAAACAATATGAATCTGACATTTTGCTTTGTTTTATTTACTGAAAATGTGTTGTAAACAATGAGGCAAAATAAATAAATAAATACACTCTTTGTTATTTTAACTGTCCTTAATTTTATGTTTTGAACACATGATACATATCTAAAAATGGTGACGTTTTGTAAAATTATCACGATGATGCATTAGCTTTACTGTCGTGCACTGATGACTGAACTTAGAGTTACACTGAAATATATAATGATGTTATATTAATGTAAACTTTAGGCCTCATAAAGGTAAGGTATAAAAAAGGTTTATACCTTAGGCCAAATTTTAAGTAAATAAATTTTTTTTTATTTAATTAAAATTAACTATCTACTCACAACTATGTGTGTGTAAATTGTGACCTTGTTTTATTAAAAATTATTTATTCAATGTAAATATCTAAAATGAGAAATTCAATGTTTTAGAACTTAAAAGTAAAGTGAAGTTACAGCCTATATAAGTCCCACAGCTGGACACAGGCCTCGGAGAGGATGAGTATACATTATATACGAATACTAACGCATTTATTTCAACTAACGTGGCATATGTGATTCAAAACAATTTCTAACTTAACTCATACCTAGAAAATTATAATATTTATATAGCCCTAAAGATATTTATTTCAAGAAATAATTTTATCGAATAATATTTCAATTAAAATAGAAGTTATTTCTACGATAAAATACTTATATTCACTGTTTAGGGGTTTTAGGCTAAGCTTTTTAGGTCGGTCTTTTGGACATAAACTTTGTCAAGATTCTGACAGTCAAATATTGCGGCATCTGTACTAAATCTTCTTATAATTTGCACATTTTTTATTTATTTTGTACTTACATTAAGTATAGAGCTACTAATTAAGGTTGCGAGGCATTTAATCTTAGTTTGCAGAGGTGACAACGTCTTATTTCTTTAAAGTCGGTTGCAGGAGCCTATGTACTGCGGTAGCCACTTGTCATAAGGTGGACTGGAAGTTCGTTTTACATTCATTTTTTTAATATGTGTTAAAAATATTTGTCTTTTCGTTTTATTATAATCAAAATATCCTACATTTTTCAGTTTATTATAACGAGCACACAGTCCACCTGATGGTAAGTGGATGCTGTGGCCCATAGACATCTACATTTATCCTCGGTTAAGAATCATAACGTAGATGCTTTGTCACCCCTGAGCATTAAAATGGAGTGCCTCGTTTCGTGTGACATAAGTTGAAAAAAATATAAAACATAATGATTTCTTATATTTACGCGAACACTACACATTGAAATAATACTAGATTTTACGTAATTTATACGCGATAAATTCCGTAAAAACTAGTATTATTTCAATATAAAACATAATTATTTAAACGCATATTTATGTATCAGACAAATAAAAATAGATGAAGCGTGCGTACATTTTAAGTGACGCCGGAACCAACCTAAACCATGCTCAAATTATTGCAAAAACAAAAGATATTTAATTGCACCTTGTAGCAGATGCATAAATGTGTTTCCAGCAGTAGATTTTTATGGTCTGTAAAAGAAAGCAAGAAGAAACGTAAATACGTGTCAAGAAGTTGAACATGATTTAGGCTTTACTTAAAATCTGCGTGGCGTTCTGTCTCCCTTTATTCTTTGGTCAGAGACATATATATAATAAATAAATGAATATTATATATATATATATATATATATATATATATATATATATATATATATATATATTTTTTTTTTTTATATTTACCTTCTATAGAAGTTCCCAGTTGCGAGTCGATGGTCAATGTAAATACTGCAGATACTAGCAACACTGGGCACACAATAATAATATACAACATTCTAACGGACGTTACGATTGTCATATTAAAAAAGATTTACATTTCTAAAATGTAAAAACTAATAAATAATGAACATTAATTTGACATAAACTATTAAGATTTTTTTAACAGATAATCGTTACTTAACGTTTTAAATCAACTTTTCGCGCCACAACAGCGTTTGAAAACGTGTCAGTGTCAAAATAAGAAGTTATGAAACTTTTTTCTTTGCAAGGATCAACGAAGACGTCTATACAGTTTTGAATTTGCTAATGTTATGGCGCAGAATTTACAAATCTTCGTTGGGTGTGACCAGTGCGTTTCGCTCCGATGATCAGAGCACACTTCCTTGCAACTCATGTGAACCTTAACGTTGGTTAATCGAACTAACAATACCTACACCTCTAAAGTCTAAGCCTACAACCTGTATATACTGGTGATCACAATATTTCGAAACAAAATATAACACAAAAGTAATTTTTGTTTTAATTTGGTTGGGTTATCAAATCTTTATTAATAATTAAAAAATATGTGGTAGTTTACAAGGCAAAACCACGCTGCAGCTACATTATAGCTGTAGTACGAATGGACCAGCTCGACCGGGTTGTGGACCACGGTACTACAGAAAATTTAAAGAGAAGAGAAGTAAAAGAAACCAAAAATCCAAACAACAAGTTATAATCTCTAAAGCAGCACAAACGTTTTAATAAATGTTAGATCCTCTAAAAGATGATTTTTTTAGTAATCGTGCGCCTCCCTCATGTAAATGAAAATTATGTATTTGTTTTTGAACATTCAAGTAATAATTGCTAACAGTCCACCTAAACACTGCACCACAAAGACCCGGCAACTGTCATAAAACAAAGAAGTAGAGGTACGGTGATACTTCGGAGAACTAAGATGGAATATCTCAAAGTATGGCCTCAACAGGCAAAAATCCAAATAAGCAAAAATTTAAGGGAAACCTACAATTTGTAGGTAGGACTGTGTATAACTTAGACCATTCAATGGTCTAAGATGTATAGTTATGCTAATAGAGGCCACAAGAATTTATTAGCGTCAATCATAAAGTTTAAAGACCTTATAATCAGAGATGATTCAAAAAGGTTTTTTTTTTATTGGAAACTCGTAAGATGTACATCATATAATTATAAGATACGCATGGGAACATGTTTAATTGTTTTAAATGCACGAGACTTGTTAGTTTTATGAGTGATGATAAATCGGTCTTTCAAAACTACAAACACAATTTGTGATTCTAATCAGGCACAACAGCATTAATCTATTATTGAAGTTTTAATTGCTTAGTAATGAAACACAAATCATAGGGTATAGGTTTATAAAAAAGTCTATATTAAGTATTTGGCTGACTTCAAAAAAGGAAGAGATTTTCCATTCGACTGTATTCTTGTTTTGTATGTGCTTACAAATTTTATGCGACATATTTGGAAATTGTGAACCACATTTTATTAATCTTTTTTTTTAACTGTGTTATAATTAGAAGTAGTTCCGTATAATTTTGAAGAAAAGTTTTTACTCTAATGGTGAAAAATAGAGGAGAAAATGTTTTATAATACAATTTAGACAAGTAGTAATCTTAGAAGTATATTTGTCTACTTAAGAGTGTCAAGAAATTAGACTTTTAATAAAAAGTAAAGCCAACTTATTTAATTTAAAAAAATCAAAATCGGTCAATAATTGACGAAGATATCGTGCAAACGTACCAATAAAACGAACAAGCAGTCAGCTGAAAAACGTCTAAGATTCGTAAGATGAAGACAAAGCCAATGAAATAATAAATTTGCTGTCTTATCATTTTGTTTTAGCTTTTTATTTTATAAAAAAGTTATTAAGGTTAATTATAAACTCAAAATAATTACAAAAATATATATTTAGGTTCACTTAAATTAGTTTAAAAACATAGTTATTAAGGTAAAAGCAAAGGGTTTATTATTTTTTGTTTTTCAGTTTTTTCGGCGTTTTAATTTTTTTGTTAAAAAGTTTTTATTTAATTACTTTTGTGGCTATAATCTATTAACTACTACATGCTTAATTTTTCATTACTTTTAAAATAGCTACTTATCTTACTTTAGCTATTAACTGTTATATAATCCTACTTTAACTATTATTTGTTTAAAGCTGTAATCTACCTCGGAAAGAAAGTGTTTGCCAAAGGGCAGGCATATGTGGCACTGATTAGAGTAAAACACTTGAGGGTATTGCTTTATCTGATCTAGAACCGAATAAATTATTACACAAACCCAGAGGCGGCGTAAGGCGTGGGCGACGTGGGCCACCGCTTACGGCCTCACGATCCAAGGGGCCTCGTACCCTGGAAGTTTATGTATTACTTAAAACCGTAAACGCGCCGAAAAAATTTCACTGTCATGAATCTATATTATTGACATAACTAAATATCTTTTTATTCAGTCTAGCAACATTAGTTTGCGTTGCTATTGCGGGGAATCCCCGCTGCGGGGCTACCAGTATATATACAGTAATCTATGGAGGCGACAAAGACGGAGGATTCCCCGTTCTGTTTGTTAGACATAGAATAATAACTTTATTTAATCGTGGGCACGTGGCAATCGAGTAAAGAGTGCGGTACAGTAGCCCACGTTGTTGGTGTACGTATATATTTTCGCGCTGTACGCACATGAGTAAATAAACGAAACAGACACAAAGCTTCTTAAGAATTTGCAAAATTGTTACCTATTTTGGTAGGGTTGTCACTATAGGTGAAGACAAATTAAAGCTCTAGAACGTTTACGTACATTTTGTGACCGGATTAAAGAATATCGACAAACTTGTTTCGAAAAACGCTTGTCTGGTATAATTTAAAAGTTTATTGAGAAAAAAAACTGTAACGATCCGCCAAAAGACTTTAAAAATAAAAAAGTAGCCAAAAACAAAAACATGTTGGATTATGAAGGCAAGGATTAACCTATACAGTCTCCTAAAAGTCGGTATTAAACAGCCTTTTTCAACACCATGCTTGTTTAATTATAAAAAATATGGATTTGATATTTATACCCACATTATTAAAATTTTGATTTCCTATATAATTCAAACAAGTTAAAAAATATTCTAAACCATCTAATCCTATACCTTTAAACGAGCAATTCTTATATATATATAATCGGAATCTCGGAAACGGCTATAACGATTTTCATAAAATTTTGTGTGCGGGGAGTTTCGGGCAATAA